ATACTGATGTGATCAGCCTGGTGTTGGGATCTCAAACCCATTGACATACTGTGGGCACAAGATTATGACAAGTGTGTATCACTGCTAAAGTCCATGACTCCACAATAGTCATCATCATTGTCAGCATGACATCAGTTTTCAACACCGATGTTTCGCAGCAGCTTGTTGTCCCGCTTGCTTCAGAATGCGCACATTGAAGGTTGCCAGATAGTTTGGGTATCGAGGCCTGAAAATTGATTTGAAGGTACCTGACGATGTCGATGCCATGTGACGAGCAGATGCTACGCCCAAAACCGACGCAAAACGAATGGAGTCATCAGTCCTAAGTGCTGGGCCTAAAAGAGGAGGGTTAATAATGGGGTGGAGAGAAGGGGAAGAAAAGGTATGTGGAAGAAAAAGAAGGGAGGTGTCAGCAGTAGCCTGCTTTCGATTACCCACCCTGCTGTATGCATCGACTAATATGACCCGGCTGGTGACACCATGCAACGGCCAACGTGGCATGAGTTTATTTGTATTTGTGCAGTTCATGGTCGTACGTTGGCGGGATACTGCCAGGGCGCCCATACCTAGACAGAAGGACGATTAGGGTCCTCAACCAAAGCCTTTGGCTCAAAAGCCTAACCGCATGGCAGCGATGTTTGGCGGGGAAATGCAAATGCATTACCTTTTCTACGGAACAAGTCGCCATACATGTTCCCCACCCAACATGGAAGGCCGGGAGACTGTGTTCGTAAGACCTCTAACCATTGGCCAACCTGGTATGAGAAACTCTGTGAGTGTCGGACACCCCTCGCCATACATGTTCCAACCCCAACATGGAAGGCCGGGAGACTGTGTTCGTAAGACCTCTAACCATTGGCCAACCTGGTATGAGAAACTCTGTGAGTGTCGCGCGGACACCCCACAGGATAGGTCAATGGGTCCCCGAGATACACAAACTGCCACACCACGGTAAGATCCAATCTCTTTGTGACGGATGGAGGCATCAAGGCTACAAACACACAATTGGTTCTGACACTGCACGATTCTTGTCCTGAAACTTGACGTTCAGTGGCGAAATACTTTGTTGCACGTGAGGGAAATTCCTTCCGAGAATGGAAGGAAATCACACAGATATACGGATGAAGAGAGGCAGCGATAAATGCTTGTCGCCAACCTAACAGGATGAGACTGAACCGTTAATCGGAGCCACGAACAAGTTAGATGATGCTTGACGACTTTGTCCGGTGCATTGCAATCTTATCAGAGCTACTGCTACTAACAAAAATGCAGTCATCTGCATGGCGATTTATGGAATATAGAAGTGTCTTGTTAGCTCGTTTTCCACACAATAATCCGTGGACATCAATGGAAAACGCCTTTAGCATCCGGACATCCTCACATGTCAGTGGTCAAGTCTCACATTCATAGGAAAGGAGGGAGGGTGACGGCCTGATGGACCCGAGTTCTAATCCTGAGGGTCATTCAAGTCGATACCACAGGGTGCCCCTTAGTTAGAGAAATGGTACCATGGTTGTTAGGAGGCACTCCTAAGGAACATATTGCTCAACACTTCTCTCTCCCTATTTCAGCCTTTCATTGGACTGTTTTGTTCCATTCCATTCTTGATTCTTCGAATTTCGATATTGGCTGTTCAGTTGCTGCAGTATGGCTGTTTGTCTTCTCAATTTCGTGTGTAACTGACAAGGTTGATTGACTGATTAGTAGAGAACATAACACTGGCGACGGGAACCCTTCACGAACCCAAGAATGACAATTTCAGCTGGGGATTTGAAATCAATCCTTCAACAACAACAAGCGCAATTTGAACAATCTCAACTGCGACTTATCCAGTCTCTCACTCAAGTCATCAATCTTCAAACTTCGGTTTCATCTCAAAGTGGTAGCTCACTATCCTTTGCGGATTCCATTGCTGCAACTATCACTGAATTTCACTATGAGCCAGCGTCTGGTCTCACCTTTGATTCGTGGTACAGCCGTTGGGAGGATACATTCTTGAATGAGTTCACCGGCAAAGATGATGCGTGGAAATCCCGTCTCTTGGTACGGAAACTTGGAACCCTCGAACACGACCGGTTCACCAACTTTATCCTTCCACAACACCCAAAAGATTTAACTTTTGCGCAGACGGTGGACCAACTTCGCGAAATTTTTGGTGACCAACATTCACTTTTTAATGTCCGATACAACTTTCTCAAGTTGGCCAAGCGTGATGCCGACGATTACGTTATTTTGCCGGTATCGTTAATCGCGAATGTGAGAAATTCCAATTGCAATCGCTTACAGAAGATCAGTTCAAATGCCTCATTTTTGTCGCTGGACTTCAATCTTCTCAGGAATCAGATATTCGCA